TGAATGTTTAATTAGTGTTTTAATTAGTTTGTAAATAAATAATTACTAAGTATTTTATTATAAATATACAGGGTTTTATACTGGCGATCTGCAAAGGAGAGGTTCTAGAGGTTAAACTTAAGTTTAACAAACCTTCTGAGTACATGGAAGTGTGCGGACTTCCCTGCTTTTTTTGTACTGTGAAAAGAAGAAAGTGTGCGGTCATCCCTGCTTATTGCTTGTCAGAGTGTGTGGCCATCCCTGTTCTGAAATTGACATCGAATAATAACAAGTAAGCGGACATTCCTGCTTGTTGCTGCTCAAGATCAGTTGTGTGGACATCCCTGCTTGCATCTTGTGGTAGAGCATTATTGTGTGGAAATCCCTGCCTGAATCCTGTGGTAGAGCATTGGTGCATGGACACCCCTGCCTGAATCTTGTGGTGGAGCATTGGTGTGTGGAAATCCCTGCCTGAATCCTGTGGTAGAGCATTGGTGTATGGACACCCCTGCCTGAATCTTGTGGTAGAGCATTGGTGTGTGGACATCCCTGCCTGCACCTTGTGGTAGAGTATTGGTGTGTGGACATCCCTGCCTCCACCTTGTGATAGAGCATTGTGTGGACATCCCTGTCTGAATCTTGTGGTAGAGCATTGGTGTGTGTGCATCCCTGCCTGCATCTTGTGGTACAGCATCGGTGTGTGTCATCCCTGCCAGTGTCCCTAGTCTAGAACCGTTTCTTAGTGTCAACTGTGTGGCCATCCCTGCTTGTCACTACGCAAGGGCAAGTGTGCGGTTATCCCTGCCTAAATTTTTTGGAAGTGCTCTTGTGTGTGGACTTCCGTGGCAGTGTCACTTGTTCGCTTCCAATAAAAACCATATATGCGCAGTACCAAGTGATTAAGACTGTGCATTTTACATATTTGCAGTATCTCAGGGCTATTTATTTTTATCACGGGTATGGGCCCGCGGGGGTTTACAGGCAGTGACCACCTCTGCATGTTACACACATAACACTGTTTGATGTAGCAGATTTTTAGTCGAAGAATTTTTGTTAAGATTTTTTGCAATATTTTATCAGTATTTCCAAAGAGTTGTCCCCCCCCCCCCCCCCGTCCGTTTTGACAAATTGATTTTTTTTATTTCTGTAAAAAATAATTTTGATTGACGAAAGGCTTGCATTAATTGATGCGATTTTTAAAATTAAGAATTCGTTTAAATAAATAAAAAATCAGTTAAGATATTGGTTCAATTTGCTCTTTTTTAAGATGATAAAACAAATAAGACCCAGTATACCTAATGTGAAAATGACCCTAAAAATTGTGAATGCGCGACTCTGTCAATTTTCCGTTTTGGTAGTCTAGTGTTAAATACAAAAAAGACTGGAAGATCCTTGTGAATTTTCTGTTAGGTATAATAAAGACTTATCGCTATATTATTGAAGATCATTATGAATTTTCTGTAAGGTATAATAAAGACTGGTTGCTATATTATTGAAGATCATTGTGAAATTTAGTGTCAATTATGATAGGAACTGGTCGATATATTATTGAAGAACCTAGTGAATTTAAGTGTTAAGTATAACAGGGATTAGTCGCTATATTACTGAAGAACCTAGTGAATTTTAGCGTTGATTATAATTGAGACTGGCTGTTATGTTATTGAAGAGCCTTGATATTTTGAGTGAAAAGTATAATAAAGACAAGCCGCTATATTGATCAAGTACTTTTCTGAATTTTAGTTTTAGGTGAAATAGCCAGCGTTCGGTCACTTATTTGTATATTATTGAAGAACCTTATTGATTTTAGTACAAGGCTGACTGGCCGTTATTTGTTGTATTTTTGAAGAACTTTTTGAGAGCTCATAAATCATTTGGAGAACTATCTCAGGTGAACATGAAGTAGTTCATTGATGATTGTACATGTAAACTTTATCTTCGGTTTACATTGCAATCGGCATTAAGCAATGTCCTCGTTATTGGCTAGACTTTATAAAACTGATTGGTTGATGAGTGGAGTTAAAGCAAAGAAATACAGAATCGTGAAAAACCTATTCTTGTAAAAAGATTTGGATATTATATAAGGAAAACTACCCATCTACAGTCTCTGACGTAGGATAGATATTCTTTAGCTATGCATACTACGCTTCTAAGGTAAAAGGATAAAGTCTTTACAAAAATGTCCCTGGTAAATTCAGGTTAATTGGTTATTTTTTTTTTATTTTTCACCCCTTGATCAAAACATGCGGCTTACAGTGTATTAACAGGGGATGCTAGCTCCTCTTAGGCGTTGTTCCCACTTGTTCAATTTCCAGGTGTGTACGATATATTCAAAGATTCTTACTGTTTTTATAGATTTTAAAATCGATTACTTTCCGTTATTTTCATCTCTTTAATTGAGGACAGAATACTTTTATATTAATTTTATCCAACAAACTATCTTTTTTTTGTTAATAAAGTACACCTGTCGTAAAAATGTCTAGAAAATACTTCTTTAAATTTGTCTGAATATCCATAATAATTAAAAAAAAAATAATGATCAATACATTATCATAATTATGTGAAACATTAATTATGTAGATGTTTTCAACTTTATTTTTTTCCTTGAACAAATTGTCCCCTTTATGATTTTGCATGAAAAGAGGTTTTAAGCTTCTTCTAACTAATTCTATCTCTTTACTTCTACATTTCAAATAAACACTATAAAAACATTCTCATTAAGCTTTATTATTTTTGACGCTAAGGCTTAAAATGTTTATTCGAGTGTGATCAGTGTTGTTTTTAAATTTAAACACTTGTACAGCTCAAATGCTTCATACAGTATTTCGGGATAATAATGATCTGTCTTTCCACTTACACAAAAACACAAATCTGATTCACTACTTGGTGCTCTGTGATTACAAGTGACGTCGACTGCCTGCCAGAATACTTTCTGATCAAAGAAGCAATATATGGGTAAAACATAAAGATCTAGCTTATTTAAAAAATGTTAAAAGTAGAGCAGTCAATTAGGACCATTAAAACAAACCAAAAATACGTTTATAAAGTTTTAATATAGTGATACATGTATTACATATGATTTTAAATCTATGTGCAATCAGAAATATTATATATATAAAATAATAATAATCTTTACGTAATATGATTAAATGATAAAAAAATAAAATTTTCAAGCCATGTGCAGTCAGCAATTTTTTATGTGCACCATTAGAAAATATAATATTGTTTTTAAAAATATGATGAAATGATAAAAAAAAAAATAAAATAAAATAATGCAAGCAAATTAAAACAAAATCTTAAATATTTAATCATCCAGAAACAAATCATTTGACTACCGTAAATTGTATTAATCTGATAATACCTTGAAATTCGTTCTATCAAAAAGAAAAAAAGAAGGATATGGAGATAACGAACAGTATTCAAACTCATAAAGTCCATAAAACAATACAAAATAAGAGCAGAGCAAACACGGACCCCGAAACATCAGAGAAAAGAAACAGTGGCTAACGTTTTCAATAAATGGTTTTCATTTTTTGAAAACGTTAGCCACTCGCTTCAAAGCAAAATTTATGAGATCCTCTTGTAATCTGATAGTGGTTATGTCAAAATTGAAACTTTTATCACAAAATTGCTAAAAACACCTATTTGCAATGGTCAGTTTAGCCGAGCAATGAGGATAGTTATCAAAATAAAATCAGTTAAAACTAAAATAAAGAATCATTACAAATTTGAAAAAGATTTAAATTTTTTTCAAGACTTTTGTTTGTCAAATTCATCAGGATACATGTATCCATTTGTTATTGATAAAGTGTCCTAAAATTCACTTTTATTTGTGAAGTACTCGTATAGCGGGTTATTTAAACAGGGTGCTAATTTCGCATATTCGGCGTTTTGATGAAAGTCCGCTAATCTTTTTATCGCTGAAATAATCAATATTCTTCTTAGTGTCCATCTACAAAGAGCTGAAATCCTGTTTCCGCTAAAATAAATTACGCCACAATTAGCCATATTACCATACCTTTGAGCAGGCAAAACGCCAAATTTTACACCCGCCAAAAAAACTCGCTGTACGATAATTTGTATCCTACATACAAATTAAATTTGCATATTTTATACGCTAATTATAAAAAAAGTATTATTAAAGAATACTTTTTAAAAATTTATTTCCGAGTAGAATCCTACAACTATACGTTTACGTTGAATATCATTTTTCAAAACAAAACATATCACATGTACATCAAGCAATGAAAGCCATACACTTTTAAAGCATTATATTAAAAAATAAGTTATCTTGTATATCTGTGTGATCATTTCCACCGTGCTCACATTTTGAACTTTCTTCCCAATATGAGTGAAAAATTCTCAAATGGAAAGTTAAACAACATACAATCAATCAATCAATCTATCAATCACATCAACATTTTATTGTAATTTTAATTTTTGTTAAAACAACAATGTTCAACAATTTATAATTTCTTGAATGCTGCACATATAAATAATTTTTCTGTGAAAGTGTCCTTAGTTAGAAACGCGATTGAATTTATTGTTTGATATAAAAATATGTATCCTACAATCGAATGATTTCACACTATATTTTGGAGTTTGTACTTGTATGTTTCTAATTCATCTGATAGTTACTTTTTTCGCAATAAAAAGGATGCTTCTATATTACAACACATATTTCACTTTCTTTCTGATGATAAGAGTTACCATCAAACGTATTTCTTACTTTGAGAGAGTACACTCAAGAAAAAAGCGATGTCTAATTTTGTTTTATCAATGTGTGACCACTCAATGACAGAAGTATAGACTAAAAGACACGAACTATTCCTGTAAATGTCCATCGTGCGTTTTATACAATATTATCAGTCATTTGACTGTAAAGTTAATCATTTGACTGTAAAGTTAATTATTTGACTGTAAATTTAACAATTTTCACATAAAACAAAACACAAAGACCTTCACTAAAGAAAATATACGACAGAAAAAAGTTGCTGTGGGAGTAAACGTCTGGTGATGATTAAAATCTTTGTTATGAACGTGACATGACTCTGTAACTTTCTCAGCTTTGGTGACTCAGGTTCATAATATCTTGTTCCATGCTTCCCTCGCTGAGTCGTAATATTGCCTGTAAAAATAATATTGTAGACGCAGTACAGTTAAGGCAACATTTTCTATAAAAAGTCACGGAATCCGATACATATAATGTTTCACAGTTTTATTTTTGAGAAAGACACTCTAGTTAAAATAGCTATTTCTTATCTTGAAGAGTATGTCCATCGCTTTTCACATCGGTATTTTTTGACATCATGTGACCCCCTGAAGTCACGTGGGCTCCGATTTTAGGTCACGAAATAAGATGTCAAATTTAACCAAAAGTGCAAGGGCAAGGCAAACAAAAAATTAACTGCAAAATGTTTTATGTTGTCACTATGTATCTATACTTTCTCAAAAGAAATGCTCATTCAGTTAGTTTTTCGATATAATTAAGTTATTCAGCTTAAACAGACAGTAATGTATGAAAAATAGGATATTTTCCTAATTTCATCGCGAATTATAAATTAACTAAAGGATTACAAAGAAATGAGCATCACTTTTTGAAAACTATACAATAAAATAAATATTTTAAAATAAAAACCTACTTTTTAGATTGTCGCCTTGCCCTTGCACTTTTTGATTAAAAATTGAATTCTTGGAGGAGTCAATCTAATTTTAGTTTTCAAACGCATCATTGACCCAGCATGGGAGATAACTCTTGAGTACTTGATATAGTTTGTTTACCTCGTATATTTTAAATAAATATACATGCGGACAGGGCTGGACTCTATTTTTTACTTAATCAATCGGTATGCATAAAAATCGTTGACATTTCTTTCTTTTCTTTGTATTCATTCTCCAGATATTGTATACATCTAATGTCTTTCAAACCTCCCGCATTTCCTCAAAGATGTGTATATACATGTAGTATTACATACAAACATGTCTAAATATTGCCGATGTTCCCCAATCGCTTTCAATCAGACCGCTTACTGTTAATTAAGGGATATTAACTAGGTTTTAAGTTTTAGGAACTAATTAGAAAGGATTGGATTATACTCCTGTATTTGTTAAGGAGACAGCCATTTTATTCCGAAGGGTGGGGGTGGGGGGCTAGCGGATTTTGGAAATAAATACTTGCAGATCAGTGATCTCCGAGTTTTTAACATTTTTTTCATGTTAGACTTTTCAATGAAGGGGAAAATTAATAAATAATCTGTCCTTCATTTCATTAATCGGAAATAAATATTAATCTGTCCTCCATTGACATGAAAATAAAAAAAATCTGATTTAGAAAAACTCGCCCCCCCCCCTTTCCCTCAGAATCAAATGGTGGTCCCCTATCCTATTGTTAATCAATTAGGGGGATATCTAGTCTTCTGGTTTTTTTGTTTTTTTTGTTTTTAAAAAAATGAACACAATGCACATGCTGGACATAAGATCTTTATGGACATTAGTACCCTCCACACAAAATAGTATGCAAGTTAAGATTTTCAAATCTTAATGGCCTTTTCAACACATGAACAGTAAATAAATAAAAAAGTTTAATTATTTTATTTATCTAGAAAATTTATTAAATAAACATTTCTTTTCAAATCCAATGATAGACTGTAGGCCTAGGAATGCTGGGCGGGTGCAAATTATTTCCATCACTTCATGTTCTTAGGGATAAAATGAATTCTGAAAATATGAGAAAATCAGGAAATACCATTACTGAAAAAAAATTGTGTTATAAAAAATGAAACTGAAAAATGCATTGGAACATTTAACATAGAATGCATATACATGTTTTCAATTCTTCTGTTGGTTTAATTATCAAAACTTTGTATGATTTATAGCTAATATTGAGCATACCATTTTCCTTAAATTAACTTCCCGCCTGAGTGAATCCATTAGTCCAAGGGAAAAGCTATGCCTACAACACAATATAATATGCAGTTATTTGCTATGAAATTACTAAATATACATTGTAGAATAAAATGACATTACATTTTACAAAAAAAAAATATGCTACATTGTATACTGTAGTTAATTTAAGTAAATAAATGGAAAAAAAAATGTGTTACAAAACTTCTCTGGGAAAGTGAAACCTCTGACATTTACAATATAGTTAATGATAGAATATTTTCTTTAAAAAAAACAAAATTGAGTTTCTCCTTTCCCAAAGTGAAAAAAAAAATGTAAAGTATGTGCAAACTTTAAAAATGTGAATTGCTTTAGAAATATACATACCCTGTGGAGAAATGATGCATTTTTCATTTATTCATTCTTTAAGCCTGATACTCTTGACAGCTACAATGATAAAAATTTTATATAAATATTTTAATGTACATGTAATCTAAACAAAATGAATATTTTTTTCATTACTTTAGAAATTCTAGAAAATTACAACCATAGATCTGAAGTGGGGCTTCTATGTTTTCAACACAATGATACTGATATTTTTTTTTAAATTGTGTATATTTGTCTGTCAAAAGACATCATAGCTTGTAAAGGCCTAGTCATTAGTGAATCATTGACTGTACAATGAAAACATATCATTTAATTTAGTTTAAATTTTTGTTACTGATGACCTCCATTATTACACATATTGTTTCAAAGAAAATGAGGTAATTGACAGGAACTCAGTACATATTTAGTGCAATTAATTTTTAATAATTCTAAAAAGTGTGCAACTTACACACAAGGCACTGCATTACAGTTTTTCACTGACTGTGATATGATGTGAAATGAACATGAGCACACTCGGGTTTTTATGTTAACAAAAGCATGTCTACATATTGTCTACATATTGTAGATCTACACATGTAACTACATATGCGTATACATCTGTACATACCTGGCCTGGAATTTCAGTGCAGTGATCGATCTTCGGAGCTGGTGCATATCGTCTCAGTTTTCTGCTATTTTCCGAAATAATGTCCTCATATTCTCGTAAAAGGAAGAAGCAATGCCGTGTCACTTATTTTATCCCTATTTTCTTGTATGTGTGGTTATTGCATTTAAATCCACTGCAAATCTCAGCTGATGTCGCCACGTTTTAGATGTAAACAACATTCCGTGTCACCGAGTGCAAGCGCTTGGCTGAAGCCGAATGCAGACAAACGACACATTGAAAAGAGAATCATTTTAAAGACATGGTATTATATATACGAGAAAATCACTAAGTATTTTCTATTTCAACATGAACATATTGCAGTTTATTACAAATTCTTGCAAATATCGGTAAATTGTTATTTTGAGCACCATTTCCTTATATGGATCAATCAGGGCGGAGCAACTGTCATGACGTCAGACCTCATTTTGACTTACCATATTTTTTTCATGTGTTGCCTTAACTGTACTGCGGAATGTTTTCTTCTATAAATATCTGTCTGTTTTAGACTTTAATACAAATAAAACTAATAGGTTGAATTTACAAGAAATTTGGCAGAAATATCTGTCTCTCCTGCAGAAATATAATAATTTGACCGTCATAATATTTTTATTTCCATCAATAGGAAGGAATAGATATTAAAAAATCACTACATCTTGCAAGAAAAGATGTTATTTACATGCCTGTGAAAGATGAAAGATTTTTGTTTCTTGTACTAAGCAACATATAATCACTAAGTACCCACTAATTAATGATACACCACAATGCAGTGCAGAAATAACTTTATAATTTTGACATAATTCAAATTGAAATATACAAATGTTGAAAACACTCTAAAATTTATCTTTCTGGATTTGACTTACAATTGTTACATGTTAATTTAGATATATCATATATTATATCACCTGACATAAATCTCTCCACTTCACACGACAGTCCTCTTTCTCCATGACACTGGTTGCCGGAGTTTTATGTTCAACCTGGTTCCTATAAACTCGGATCCTCTCTACGTCATCAGTTGGAGATTTTTGTCCCGGTTCCGGTGTCTTCCCCCAGCCTTTGGTCGGGGAAGGAAGGTTTCTTCCGTAGTTCCTCAACAGTTTGTACATAATGGTCACATCAAATGCATAAGATGTTGGAATCGATTTATCAACTGTACGATTATATGAAAATATGAACAATATGAAATATTTTACATGTAATTGAATTTCTGAAAATGTTTGAAAGAAAACATATTCTCAATGTAGAGCAAAACAAGTTGGTGATTTAATGAAATTACATTTTTAGATTTTCAAACAAAAGTAAATAAATAAATAAGATTAAAGTAAACCTTAGCCACAAAAAGATTAGCTTATAAAAATAATCATATACAACGTTTTGATACTTTCAATTCAAATGTTGTAATTGTAGTCCTGTGCACTTTAGTTTTGCCCTATTTAATCGATTTCTGTAGATTTAAAATTTTTGTATTTTACAGAAAAGAAGTAGAAAATGTAATACATTGCAAGAGCATGTGTATCTATGGTTGCAAAAATAAAAAAAAAATTGATATCACATGAAAATAATTCTACATGTGTGTGTCTTTCTTTTGTTTTTCTAAAAAAAAAAACAAGAAAATTGTCCATTCGTCTAATCTTTGCAAAATATTGAATATTAATATGATTTCGAAAAAAATGAATCTTCTAGTTGAAGTTTTCCCTTCTATTCAAGAAAGATCTGTGATAATTTTGGCTGTAAATGTTGAAATTTGGCATGATAAAAATAGAAAAAAATTATGAGTTCAGCTATCAAACAACTTTGAACAAAACTATTTACATAGTGATAAAAATGAGAAGAAATGCATACGATAAATTATTTAATTCCGCAATACCTGGAAACAGTAGATCACTCTGGTCTGTATTGAACTGTCTACGTAAGTTATTTTTCTCCTTCTGAAGTAACTTAAATAGCTCTACTGCAGGAAAGACTTTGTCAAAGTATCTCTGAAGAGCTTCTCTGCCGAGTTTTGTTATTTTTTCAAAACACTGAAATCTACATATTCTCATTTTAAGTTCAGAAAGATTCCTACAAGCTCCCTTTTCAACTAGAGCGTCTGGGTCTGAAGTGGAAAAGAAATGCATAGAATCTCACTGAAAAAGTGTCAAGGTCATTTAAGAATTCAGAGACAAGTTCATGAAAAAATGAAAAGAAAATACCTGTTAGCTCCGCAAGTACATCCTAAAATATGAAACAAACATGTGAATGATATTGGATATATCAGTATTAAACCATTAATTTTCAAAACAAATAAAATTTCAAGTGCATTTAAGAATGTAAAGATAATCTTTAATAATTATTATATTATTTTAAAGGTTCAGTTGGATTATTTTCAATTGTTTTTTTTTACATGTGTATGGCAATATTCACATATGCACAGATCTACAATAACTAGTCTGCAAAATGAACGCATAAAATCGATATATTTAAAACGTCTGAATATCTATATTTGAAACATTTTATGATTTTGTTGAGCAATCGTTTGATTGTATATGGAAATATTTGTGTGCAAAGTTGTCCAAAGCAAGGTATGTTTCCGATACATGGTTAACTCCCTATGTGAGATTTATATGAATCCTTATTACCAATAGCAAATTCACGCGAAAAATTATTCAATATACTGAAAAGTATTCAACAAGTAATTGTGTGCATGTTTTAGTGATAATATTTACATATATTTAGAATATCAGTGGTGATTACCAAATTCCAGTAAGATAGAAGAATTGATTCAAGTAACATGTGGCTGTTATTCAGTTCATGGTTTGGACAGAGCATAGTCCCCTTCTTTAACAGCTCCTCTTCTTCAACGAAGCAATCATCAAGTTCGTGAAATACTTCCTGCTTTGAACATTGGAAACCAACAGTGTACATGTCGATTTTTTTATGAAAATTCTGAAGCAAATCATTTAATAAATCTGTGATAATGTTACGAACTTCCAACACAATTGTTTTGGTAACCAGAGTATTTGTTGGTTGAAAAACCTGAAGTTGTATGGAGGAAGGGTTCACGGCCAAAGCTACTGCATGTTGCTTATACGCAAAACAAGCAACGTTTTTGTAAAGACAAAGCCCTTTGTCTTGTAAAACTCTCCATTCTCTGTTGGTCTTCGTCAAGCAGGAAACGATCAGACGAAAGTAGAAAAAATATGGCAAGAAATCAAATCGGAAGACTAACACAGACGTTTTGTTTTCCAACGAGTGGAAATAGTTTTCCTCAGCACGTCCAAATGTGCGCTTATTCGTACACGGAATATAATGAGCAACTGTACCAACAGCAATTAAACCAAGACGTTCCATATATTGGAGAAGATGTTCTTTGTACTGGTATCTATTCCAGAAATCCGATGCAAAGTTTCTCAATCTCCATATGTTGGTCAAAAGTGTGTCCAAGATATGACCACTCGTGTAAAAATCCAACCACTCACGCCTGTTTTCTGCAACATCCCTGACGTGGTTCGGGTCTGTAATAACGTTTTTTAAGGAATCAATGAACCACTGGATATCAAGGATTACTGTGTCAGACAGTGCTCCCTCATTGAAGTAAAGGATGACCCCAATGTCATGGTAAAATTTCAGGACGTCTCCCATTTGCCCACTTTTAACTTCATTTCCGCCGTAGCAATTTTTGGATAATTCCTTGAATGATATCATTTTTGACCTTTCTTTTCTCAATTCTCGAAAGACAACCTCACATAAAGCCCAGTCGGTGGGGATGTTTTCTTTCCATCTTTCCTCTCTTGCAATTTCGATGATACACTTTTCTAAGTCAGAAAGTGTATCATAAAAATGTGTACCATCTTCATGGAAACCAAGAACGAAGCACCTCTTTCGGTCTAAATGTCCCTTCAAATGTTTGTTGAACTGCAAGTGGTCCAGTATTTTGTTGTAAAACGTATCAGAATTCTGTAGAAAACACATAGATTTATACATGTAAAATCTTTTTTTCACTAGAAAGAACCTTATACGCAAGATTTGTTTTTTTCTTTAAAAAAGTTTGTGTAATTTTTTTAGTAATGAATTTTTTGTCTATGATTGAATGGAAGGCATGATTTCAAATAACATTTAAAATAATATTTTCAAGAATACCTGGCCTTTGACTTTATCAAAATGAGTTCCTACGATGACAACTGGAGCATTACTTTCACAATAGGTATAAACAGACTTCAGCCAAAATAGGATGTACTCTGTGTAAAATAAGGTTGATGATATTACGTTTAGATTCCAACTCTTTTTCTGTGTTTACTCTCTGAATATTAATTGTGCCGATCTCTCTATTTTATTAAAAAAAGTAAATTTTGACGATTGAAGGACAAATGCCTCATATGCAGGTCAATACCTCACGGACGTCATTGTATCTGATCATGACGTCAATGGGCAGAACTACGAAAACTAATAAATAATGCTTCGTGTAGTTTTTATCTACAAGATACCATTTTAATTAATTTACCTTTTCTATCTCGTATGCATTTGTTTTGTATGCAAATTACATAAACGTTACAGTGAAAGCTTTGTTCACAGGTTCAGCCAACTAAACATTATAATGTATTGTCAACGTTTTTTGTGTGTGTGTGTAATGATTACCTTGGGGTTTTCACGATTTTTCTTTGATACATGAGGGGGGGGGGGGTATGTAGTGTAGGACTTTTATCTACATGCACCCGTAGCGTCAATTGATAAGCGAATTCTCCCATGTTTTCAAATGACGTTAATGAACTGGCACTATATATTGATCAGATCAACGTTTAATTGATGTTTACTTCATTTTATTGGCCTTGAAAAAAAGAGCTGCATTAATAGAACTTTGATCAATTTAGCCAAATGAAACAAAAAAAAATCATCACGAATCCTTTAATAATGGATAACAATAGACATAAAAACATGTAGATTCACGAAACGTTCTTCGCATAACATGTTGTAAAATTTTGTTTAATGAAAAAGAATTTGTACTTTCTGCTTCTGAAATAAAATAATGTGTCTTTATATGCAACACATAAAAACATTGAATAAACTGCTTTGTTTTTTTTTAATTTCTAGTCGCATTTGAAATTAAAATCTCAAGAAATACGTTTAAAATGTTAATTGTCAATTGAACATTAGATAAAAAAACAAAAAGTTCTTGAAAATTGATAGTAACGAAAATAATTTGTTTTATGATTTGGCTTATTTAAAAATTACTCAGTATATTGTGATTAAAGGTAGGACCAAATAGATAGGTCAAATTTTTTCTTCAAGTTCAATTTTTCTGAGACTTTCATATTTTGTTCTTGGACACAAAATTCAAAATTGAAAGAAATTCAACCGCACATTTTTTTCCCACATAGTCTGAAATATGGCCTATCAGATCCCTGTAAAAAGATTGCGAAATCAGACATTCCACTTGAGAATGAGCCTTATTTTAGATTTATCAATTGATCTGTTGCAAATGTGTGCAATACTTTCAATAAAGATATCCATTTTGTTACTTTAAATCATTAAGTCACATTGATGCTTGAAAATTTGGGTAAAATATTAGGTAAAATAGAACATACATTGTATCAGAAACTGAAAATTCACAAAAGTTGCACTGCATTTTATAACAGACTGTTACATGCTTGTTTATTGCACTTGGATAGCGTAAACACATTCCAAAATGTAAGCTCCCAAGTGACCAATATATTAGATTCTTCGCTTTTTTTCACCAAATATAACGCAAATATGCCAAAAATTATTATTTTTCTTTTAGGGATCATTCATTGTTGTTAATAAAGTAATATTATTCTTTTTTCCTCCAGTAATTTTTAAGAAATGGGTTAAAATAGAATCCACAGGTGTTTTGTTCTACCTTAAACAAGAAAGGCCATAGAGTAATATTAAATACAAGAGGCCCACGGGCCTTACAGGTCACCTGAGTAACATGAAACAATTTTCAATTTTAAAAGAGGCACCGTTGATTACCATAATTATACACTTAGCATGCTTAATCTAGTTACTTAATATCCAGAGGTAGATCAGAGTAACAAAGAGAAAATTTGTAACCAGTTGTGCACCCGACCCCACAGGAACAACATATTTCAAAACTTTGGAAAATTTATCATAAATTTTATTTCATTATAAATGATTTATTAATACCAAAGAGCAGATTTCAAAGCATTAATTTATTTTCGGACCCCCATACCCCTGACCCAGGGAGCTTGAAATTAACCATTTTGCCAGATGCACCTTTCTTCATCGTAAATATACTACTTAGATCATTGGCATAATACCCAGGAGCAAACAAAAATATTTTCAAAGAATTCATGCATTTTCATTATATCACCATTAGAGACCCGCCTTAACACAAGGACACTTGACCTAGGGGCCATGAAATTCACAGTTTTTGAATAGGCACTCTTGGTCATCATAACTTTGTACTTGATTAATTTGTTTAATACCTAGGAGCAGAGGAAAATATTTTCAAAGAAATAATGAACTTTTACTATTTGATATATATATATCCCCGCAATAACACCAGAACCCCTGACTCAGGGGCCATGAACTTCACAATTTTGGTGGAGGACTCAATGCTGATTACAATATTGCCAACAGTTTGACTGCTTTATGTGCAGAAGTAAACATAACGATTTTTAAAGATCCATTAATTTTAGTGGTTTTGGCCCCACCCCTCAGGCCCCAGGGGGCAGGGACCATGAAATTCATAATTTTTGTTCCCCTTTACCCATAGATGTTGTATACCAAATTTGGTTGAAATTGGTTCAATGATTCTAGAGAAGAAGCTAAATTTGTTTAAATGTTGACGACCGACGAACAGAACAGCGTACGACGTACGACTACGGACGAAAACAGATAGCAATAGGTCACCTGAGTTTATTCAGGTGACCTAAAATACGCAGAAAAGGAAAATTCAAATTTCTCATAACATAATTCTCCCTAATTTATGTATCTATATCTACTTCTGACCAGCATATGATGAGCGTTTATTAATAAAGGTGTTGATAATACTAGGGTTTCTTTATGTCTAGGTCACATTTAAGCCGATGGTCGGGCGAGTAAATTTTTCTGGTCTTGTCGGCTGAAAGAACATGATCGGGCGACACGGAGCAGTCACATTCATTCCTAGGGACACCGATGTTTTGGATAAATAAAACAAAAAATGTTTATTATTTAGAAATCAGCAATATTTTTCATAGATCTATATTCAGATAGATGACGTGAGTAATGTTTGCATGGCAAAGTCGCAGAATGTTATACAATTGTGACGCAATGTTGAAAATGTGTGCAAAATTTTGTCTGGAATTGCATAAAAACGACAAATGGTGCATATCTAAGCAGCAAAGAATACTTAAGGTTTCTTAACATCTTACGGATGTATCATTTATGTAATTTCCTTTCCAAAAATGTATATCAATCCATACATCAACATTTTGTCTGTGTTATGAATCCTTAATGGGTTAAATATTCAAAAGTCGGCCGATCGTCGCACGATCATCGAACTCTGGGCTTCAATTTGATTTTAATCGTCGGCGGAAATTTTATCACCCTTATTGTCCAACGACGGACGACCGACTTAATAAACTGACCGCCAATGGTCGGACGATGATCGAAGGTTGGTCGACGGATAACTTCAATTGAAGAAATCGGTTACCGACGCATAAAAAATATAACTTGGATCGATGGACACAAAAGTGGTCGGCCGACAAATACAGATGTCAAAATCGGCCAAGGCATTGGCCGATGAACTGAGGACTGTCAAACGAGGAATCCCATTTTTGCTTCAAAACACGTTGGCCGTTGGTCGTTTTTGGAAATGTGACTGGGGTTTGTAACTGTGTATCAATTAATTTCATATTGAATTGTGTACGGATTTTTTTTTTCATTTTCCCGATATTGACAAGGTTTATGCTGTAGATGTTAACAGTCGTCAGGTTATTCACAAATTGTGAGAGGAGGAAACACGGATCTCTAAAAGCCGGGGAGTGATCAGGTGCCTCAGGGAAGTGAGAAAGTATAATTAGTGTTAAATTATACTTTGAGCACTATATTTTTTTGTGTTCTTGACTAATCGAAATATAACCATCGTACTCTGGCCACGCGGTGTGTCATTCTACCTCTTCTACATCCTACAGCCTCGGCTGAAAGACGTTTTCACATAAAGTTATTGGGAAGAAGTAAATATTTTGAAGGGTATATGGGCTGTCAAATACTTATTGCATTAATATAAGTGTCAACAAGTCTTTTGCAGGATAAAAACCCAATACTTGATTCGACACAGAAAGTTTACATTAAAAACACTCTCTTAACACAACACACACACAAAACAAATACTTTATATAATAAAAGATCAGATATTAACAACAAATACATGGTATGATTGTTAGTTGTTGGAATTAATTGATAAATGTAAATTATAAACTATATTTATTCAATAATTATAATTAAGGTAAACGAAAACCTTACCAGTTAAATAAAGTCTTATTAAATTATTGCTTTGAAGAATAATTTGTTATATTTTTAAATACAATCTTCTTCCGTAAATGCAAGAAAGCGTGTGGGTCAAGAATTTGGAGGGTACTGTGTACAGAACAAGCATATTAATAAGATTAAAACGGTCAGTTATTGGTCAGCATTAAATTACATTAGGTCATCTCATCGGAAACACGTGTTACTACAGAAATAAAATGTCACAAGATCTCTCAAAAATTCACACTAGACACAAAACGCAAACAAATGCAGCAATTCTGTTTAAATGACAGTGCGCTAATTATATGCACAAATTAAAATATAACATCTTTGACAATCACGTTGAAGGAATTTCGTGATTTATTCTATTTTTAGAAATACATAGATCAGTTTGCCTATCACTTTCGTAACAAAAATCATTTTAATAAATAAGACTCTTACCCCCATAGGTCCAGTCAGCAAACATAGTCCCCTCTTGTTCACAAAGCGCTGGATCAACTTTCTCGTCAAAAGATTTTGACATATCTATCACGAGTAGATAAAAGGCTCTTCTGGTGAGATAGACCTGATGACAGGCGTAGTAGGCACACTGGCCTCCAAAATCCATGACACTCAACAGTGCCTTCCCTTCTTTATCTTCTTCTTCGACAGCTAAATTTTTTTAAAATTCAAAATCTTATCATGTTATAAGTAATACATTGAAATTTCAATTACCTAATATCTTTTATAAAATAACTGTTAGATATTAGAAAAATCTATGAACCACAAACCTTTAAACAAAGAAAGAAATAAACGTTTGCTTTTTAAATTAACTTTAATTCTTGCACTTTTTGCATCTATGGAACAAGTGTTACTAAATACATCTAACGGGGAGAAAGCATATCAGTACAAAAAGGAAATGACAACATGCAGACTACATCAAAAAACAAATTTTCATATTTGAACAACAATTGTGATAAAGTTTTTTTTAGATTTTTGTACGTGGGGATAATTGCTAAACCCCGTCACTTTCGGGAAACTCCGCTCTGTTCGTAAAGGAATACGATTAAGACGTCATATTTTGCATGCAGAAAATAAATCTGCAATTAAAGCTTTTATATAACAGTCAAGTCAAAAAAAAAGAAAGACCAAATTTACACTTAGTTTTAGGTTTTATATTTTATGAGAAATCAATGAGTACATTTTCCTGTTGTAACATCAAGACGACGTCAATTACTTAATTACTTTCTTTAGGAGGAGTGTGTAAATATGTAAATTTAGAATAGTTAATCACATTGTAGTCTATGCCAAGCAAAATTTACAAAATGAGCTTAACATAGTTTCACAGTTTGTTAACTATAATTTTCATCTGTAAAACTATATTTAACGATTGTTACATGTAACTATAGTTTACGAATGCTAATCTAAATTTATTTGTCTGTAATAAAATGTTAACAATAGATTTTGTTTATAAACATAGATTCACTTTTATAAACTCTAATTTACAATTCTAAACAATAGTTAAGAGTTGTTAATCATAGTTTCACAAATCGTGAAACTATATTTATCAGATCGTTAACTATAGTTAAGAGTTGTAAACCATAGTTTACAAATCGTGAATTTGTATTGATCAGATAATCTATTTTTTGCAATCGCAATTTTTTTTTTCGGTGTTAAGTATAGTTTACGGTTGTGAAACATATATTATTGGGCTTATTATATTTACAAATGTAAAATATAGAAAAAAGTTGTTAACTCTAGTTTACAGTCCGTACACTAAAGTTTACAACCGATTAACCTCGTTTATCTCCGGTGAAACTGTTAAGCTCATATTTGTGTGAATTTTACGTGAAATAGTAGTCATTATAGTAATTTATTGACAGAACCCTAAGTAAATGTACTTTTTCATTAAAGCATTTCTCCTCTGTTGCTTTGGAGGTCAACGTTTGCTCTGCTCTTTATGTTTTTTCTACAAACATTTATCTTGGATGTTGTTCGTTATCTACATGTATTACATTGCATTGTCTAGTTAAACTGATGCTTAGTGTTTTCACGTTTTCATTCTCATATTTGGTTTCATATAAGTAATTTTTAGCATTTATTCGAATTATCATCAATGCTATCCTAGTCTGTAGAGGAAATCCTAGTGATTACAGGCATTAAAGATATTAGTGTTCGCTTAGCTTTATAGCAAGTAGCTTATACTGATACCACTAATCAAATGTAGTTTGAAATAATTTATAATTTGGCAATATTGTAGATAAATATTAAAAATAAATATCGTTCCCATTTTCACCTGAAGAATGCTACATGTAAGTGTAGTTTTATAGAAAAATGGAATATAATAATCACAATATAACCAGTTCTCCTTCACTTTACTTTTGTTTAATTTATATGCATTAAACTGTCATTATATACTTACCATTTAGAAAATCTTTCTCCTTAGAAGCTTCAAAAATATCCTCATGCACTTCTAGGCCTATTGTAGATTGAACCTGTTGTAATTCATGAAGAGATATCTTCTGTAACCTTTTCAGCAGGGTAGTTTTACCGGCACCAGCACACCCAACAATCATAGCACGAGCCCTATGGATCGTTTGTGTCCCTTTCTTTCCACATTCTACATATCTGCATCTTGCATCGTAGTCCCATTGTAGAATTTTCCTTGGAATATTTACTGAAAGAATGATACAATATATTTTTGTCAGTGATCTTTAAAAGTTTCAATATTTAATCACAGGTACTTGTGGACAGCCCCACCCCCCTCCATATACACATCCCTGATCAAAATATGTTTTTTGTCATGAATTATGTTTCTAGTACTTATTAACAACGTATTCCATAGGGAAAATCCAGAAAATAACATAGATTTAACGATTTACTGAAACAGTCATACCCTGGTATTATAAAATAGACAAGGTAAGTCACTTCGGTTTGTTAATTCAAACCCCTCTTGAATATCAGGCCTAAAATATCATATACCTATTACATTTCAACAAAATGTGTCATGATATCTTGTTTCAATAGATATTTTTGTCTTTAACCGTGGCATTTAGTTGCCCAGGCATTCCACAATTGTCTGACTATTCAGCGTCAAACGTGAAAAAAATTGGAAATGTCAAATCAGAAATTACGAAAGTGATCCAAACACGACACCTACCGGGTAACTTTCTAGTTCGAGTGTCATAGAATAAAGGAAAAAATTAGAGGACTACGAAACGTTCGGGAAAATTTTGATAAAAGAAGTTGAAATTGATTCATTAGAATTTAAATTTTGCTGCAGATTTTCGAAAAAATCAGGGTACAAGCATCAATACAAGTATTCTTTTTAGAGGATTTATCAATGATACCATATAGCGTATTAAAAATCGCATGTAGACAGTAAAAGATCTGTAACCCCCACCCCCACCCTACAATAATTCCGATATCATCCAATATTATACCCTAATTCGTCTCGAAAATCTGCAGCAAATTTTAAATTCTAATGAATCGATTTCGACGTTGAAGGAAAATCTGAACAGAAATTAAATCTGTCAAATTACATAAAATAATTTATTTGTTTTTGTTGACTATATCTTAGTAAAGATCATTTAAGGACAGATTATACAAGTACACATATATCAGAAATAATTTAAGTTGAAAATGAGTCCTGTTTTGCTTTAAAAAAAATTAATATATAATTTTTTCATTCAAAGTTTTGCAATAATAGATTATCATTTGAAAAAATTCGTATTGATTAATAGTGATGGTTACAGAGACTTTTTAACAACATACAAGATTAATAATAATTTATTTATTTTTCTCGTTACTTAGAAATTCATGATTTGCATCATTTTAGCAAAAAAAGCCAAAAATATTTACTTATAGTACCAATCCAGACATCCATTTATATTTTTATCAACTGTCCTTAATAATCTTGCAATTATTCATTAACCTTTTTAAATGATATTAGTACATAATTAGTTTTCATGTTTATTTGTGGACTAAGAGGAGAAAAAATGATTTAGTGATTTAAAATGTATCGTGAATTATCATTTAAGGAATACTTGCAACGACACGTATTATGACATTTTGACATGCATGATCTATATTTTGTCAAAATCAAACACAGAACAAAGTATGAATCGTTTTCTATGGGACAAATACAATTCTGTCAGAAAAACAACCATCACATGTGACAATGTTTGCTTAGAAATTGAATTTTTTTTTTAAGTTTCTATGATAAACTTACAAATATCGGACACCATATCTTGTATCCTGTCTTTTCTCACTTGCATGTGCCGCACGATATCTATTCCAGACTCTCGTATCAAGGTTTCCTCCAACGTCATCGGTATGTATAAACATCTTTCTCCTTTACCTTCGTATTTTATTCCAGACTCTCTTACAAAGGTGTCCTCCGTCTCCGCCAGTAAGAAGGAAATATTTTTTCTTTCTCCCACTTCATAATCAAAAGTTCGGACGTAATCAAACATTGAGTCAAATGATGACAATTTGAAATAGTTTTTGTAGTCCTCATCAGATTTTAAACAGTTCAGAACAAAGTATCCCATCACCTGATGACGAATATCCTCTGATATAAACTCTAGTGTCTGTTTCTCTCTATTTATTGTCAGCATTTTATCATTGTTTATCAATTCTTGTATGAGCAACGTATTATCAGACATTCCTTCATCTGAACCATTCAGTGTTTTGAAGGTCTGCTGTATTTGTTCGACTTTCTCTTTCATCAATTTCTCCTCACATAAAATGCTATACCTCTCTGACAGCAAAATGAGTATAAGTATGCTACATTTTGACTTGTTTAGAGGCAATTTTAGAAATTCTGAAAGTAGATTTATGCAGTTTGAACGCAATTAAGACAATAAATGCTTAATCAATTAACGTAGTTCATTTAAATTAAAAAAAAATGTTGAAAAGAATCACAATATTTCTATTTAATAGTAATGCTTTACTTTTAACAACATTTACATGTGTCTTAATGATATGTTACGTATTATAATACAATAATTGCTGTTTTGGAGGTCAATATAATTAAGCCACTTAAGAAATGGGCCGGAGGGGCGATGCGAATATTGTATTTCGAAGGTAGCGAAATCATCGTATTGACCTTCAAATTGCAATTATAGTTGTTTTATAATATGATTCAATGATAAAATTAAACAACTCATTACTTCCTCAATGCAATTATAGAAGTCTCAGCCAATTACAAAGAGAATTTAAGTAGAGTTACAATGTGAATAAACATTACTATTCGTTAGTTGCCATGACAAAAGATATATGTCCGGTTTAATTATAGCCTAGATTTCGAAACAAGTATATGATTATCAGGGAAAACTGAGAGTTGAAATAAATAAAAATTATTAATTTTTCCTAAGTTATGTTCATATAAAACTTTCTGTATCAATTTCGAATTTCCATATCTAGTTTTAAATCAATGTAGAGAAATATATTCCGTATATTCACCTCAAAGGTTCAGTGCAGATGAATATAAAGTAGTATTTATTCTACATAATTGTTTCTCAGCAAATCAGAAAGATGGGAATTATCAAATATGTATATCATATTCTTGATTAACCTTCCTCGTATCCAGAAAGAATTGTGTATGCAGAGAAAAATCTTTTCGTTTCTCCATCACCGACTCCATTAGACCAATCAGTAGGATGTATGCTTCTCCGCTTACAATGGTTCTTCCAAAATTGGACAAATCCTTCAGATTCGGAGAAGAATCCCGCTGGCACTAATTTGTCCTCACTGTCTGTATTATACAAAAAATAAATAATTATATTTCTTTTGTTATAACAATTACTCACCAATAATAATAGATAAAAGGGGAGTAAGGGGAAAATCAATATGTATCTTAAAACCAAAAAGCGGCCTACACATGTAATAATGACACCATCGACTAAAATAATCCTGGCCCTACAACTGTAACTCCGAGGAATGGCAGAATCTACATACATGTACTTGAAACATGCCATTAGGAATGTTTCAACATTAATATGTTTTAAAATATTATACAGAGTGCAACACGGCTTCCTACTATGGAAAATGAAGTTTTATTCCCTGTATACATGCATCGTGTAAAATTTGAATCCCGATGTAAGATCTTAACATGTGACCACATGGTCCTTCATTCCAGTTGTCCCTGTCTTATGCCCTTTACACATGTTTGTATTTTTGATGATTTGTTTGTAGATTTGTTTGTAGATTTCATTTGATCGATCAGTGTTCGTTATATTTACCGTTTAAATTGAAATTAAAACAAGAGGCCCATGGGCCACATCGCTCACCAGAGTAATTTTGACGATACGGTTTTTTACAATGTACCAGATTTCCCATCTTCTTAAATCTATTGTGCCCCCTAACCCCCCCCCCCCCCAAAAAAAAACACCCCCATCTTGATTTCAATAATATAGAATCTCCACTACCCCAGGGTTCTTCCTCATAAATTTCTGCTTTTCTGGCCCACTTGGTTCTTGAGAAGAAGATTTTTCCTATACATTTCTATGTAAAACTTGGATTCCCTATTGTGGCCCGCCCCACCCCTGGAGGTCATGATTTGATGTTAATATTCTACACTACCCAAGAATGCTTCCACTTAAGTTTCAGCTTTTCTGGCCCAGTGGTTCTTGAGAACAAGTTTTTTCAAAATATTTCCTATATATTTCTATGTAAAATCTTCTTCTTTAATCCTGCATATCAAGCAGTCAAACTACTGGTGTGATAGTAATAAACAGTCCTCTGCAATTTTTTTCCCATAAACTCATTGGCAGGGGCTCTAGTGCTAGGTAGAGCTTTAAGACTGTATTGTGAAAATGCATTATTACTTTGAAAATCTTCCTCTCTGCCACTGGATAAAAAACAAAGAGTGTACTAAAATAAAGCATCTGCTATGAATAGGTAATGAGAAAACTGTGAAGAAAAATTGTTATGTATGAAACGGACAGACACACAGACAAACAGGAAGTTGACATTTGATTTGAACAAAAATGTATCAAACCGTATGACATGTCTTTGGGTCAGTTTGGGAAGATTGTGTTAAAATGTCAAGCATCTGCAATGACTAGTTGCAGAGAAAACTGTGACGAAAAATTGTTAAACCCCACCGGGGCTGCGTCCTCACGGCGACTGCACGGCGTCCTCAAAAAATGCACAGCGTCGTGACAACGTGGAGAGATCTCCACTGTACGCCGTAGGGTCGCGTGGGGTCTCCTAGATTGCCAGGGGACGGCGATCACTTTGGGCATAAAGTACGCGCCATGTGATCGCGGTCTGATAAGAACGCAGTAAAAACGTAGTATGATCGCCTTAGCAGCGCCGTGAGATCTCCAACAACGTAGTGCTAGCTCCGTGCAAAAGCCGTGAAGACGCACATGATCGCGGCACGAACGCAGTGATAGTAGACTGCGCTTCCACGGAGACCTCACGGAGATATCGCGGAGTCCTTGGAGATGTCACTGCGTTTCTATCGCGTTTTTACGGCGCTTCTAATGAGATCTATCGTCTTGTGATTTTTTCGACTGCGATTACACGGCGACAGCACGGAGTTGTCACTGCGATCGTTGTGCTCCCATGGCGTCTCTACAGCGTCCGTTTGCGATCACAAACGGCGTTGTAAGAGCGTTGTCAGCCAGCTAAAAAAACAAGAGCAATGGGATCATATGTGATCAGCAATAATAATTCCAAGGTATTTTTTGCACTAGGAGCATGTAAGTGAAAAAAAATGTAAGAGAAAATTACACCAGAACTTGTTCTGTTGTTTCACCAAAATTTGTAGAAAACTTTTCAGCGTGTTTATTTTTATTTTACATTCAAAATAATATCATAGAAAATCTTACAATACATCAGAACTGATAAAATTGTAAAAAAAAAAAGGAGTTTAATCATAAAACTATTAATAATTTTAGTACTAAATTATTTAAATAGAACATTTTGATTATTAAGAATATTTCTTGGTATGATTAGAAACTTTCTATCGTGTACCGATCGTTAAAGAAAAATGGTTTACATTCCTTCTGAAAAGATATCAATGAGTATAGAACGCAATGTGAACGTATTGTGAATGCAGCTAGCGCAGTGAGAACGCCCTGAACACGAGATGTAAACCCCTAATGCGCCGTGAAAACTCTGTGGAAGCGCAGTCAATCGCCGAGAGATCTCCGTGGGAACGCAGTAGAACGCCGTGAGATGGCCGTAGAATCGCGCCCGTCAACGTAGGGACGCCGTGACATCTTCAGAGAAAATGGTGCAATTTTGCTGCGATTCCACGGCGATTTTAAAAATTTAACAACACCGTAATGACTCCGTGTGAACGCAGCTTGGTGTGACAGTGACTTTATATATGAAACGGATAGACGCACAGACAAATAGGAAGTTGACATCAGATTTGATCAAAAATAAATCCCGACGTATTGCATGCCTCAGAGAAGATTGTGTTAAAATTTCAAGCATCTGTGATGGGTAGCTGCTGAAAAAACTCCGAAGAAAATTAGTTATGAATGAAGTGGACATAAGATTTGAAGAAAAATGTATCCCACCGTATACTCTATTCTGTGACGTTCTTTATGATTCCGACTATTTACAACCTTAGGACTATGCGATGTTCCGCTTGCGCATGCGCAGATTACTTAAATTTTTTTAACTGATGCTGAGAATTTTGAAAGAGATGTTTTTTCCTCTTGGTAGGATCGTTTTGTTCCCAATAACTGAAACAATTCAGCATTTTTCTCTTAATAACTTGTTTATGAACGAACATATTCAAAGAGAGAGAGCTTATTCGGTGCTAAATCGATTTTTTTTACGTTTTATATCTGAAGCACCTTATATTTAATGGGTAACGATGTACAGTTGAACTTCAGTATCATTAACACTGATCTCTCAATTACCATGGCTAAGTTGATCTGAGGTGGGCGACTATAGTTTCCATTGCGCAATATTTCGCGCATCATAGTAAAATGAAGCGTATTTACTATTTTATTGCAACTTTTTTCGCCTAATTTTTAAAATTAAACAAAATTAAAAAATTATAGATATAAAAATGTAATTACAATTTGATATAACTAATTTTTAAGCGATTTTGCAATTGATAGGTAGGTTGACGTTGTTGCAGTGTGTTTTTGACGTTATGATAATATGTAGCTCTTAAAGAAAGGGGTATTAAAAATATCATTATAGAAAAAGTTATAAATAAATATATGCTCTTGAAATTTAAAACACAGAAATTTGAGAAAACTTTTTGCATCTTGAGATGCCCCCTCTGATAATAAGACGGTAGAATTTTGTGTCTCTTACACAAATTGTATAAAATAGTATTACTCATCAAATATTAATATAGTTTGAACAAAATGTCTATCGTAGTATTTGTATAATTTGCTTAATTTAAAGTGCTAAAAATTGACATTTTCCTATATAATCCTATAGTAAATGTATCTGTATTTTGAGACGGTCCCTCTAAAATACCTGGACGGTAGATTTCCCCCAAACTTTGCATGTACACTGAAGTTAATATAAGTTATGTATGGTATAAAAATGAAGAGTTTCGCTATGGTAGTTTTCAAACAATAAAACTATAGTCGCCCCCCTTAAGAAGTCCCATCCATTATTTAAGAAATAAGGCATCATTTTTAAACATGTATCGGGATAAAAATTTATTCACGAACTGTATATCTACCTGGTGAGAATATCAGAAATGTCACTGTAGTTAATGTAAATACCAGTCCATGCTGCCTATAGTCAGAGAAGCCTTTCTTAATGGTCTTTTGTGGTGATTTGAACTTTGTGTGTGTATGCCTTTGTTTTGTTTATTTATTTTTTCTCTTCTACTATTATTATTTTTTTATGTTCTGTGAATGTCCATATGTGTGCCAAGCATATGTATCATTGTTTTCTATGTTGCTTTCCTTGTTGTTCAGCTCTCATTACTGTCAGTGTTTGTAAATGTTTTGCACTGTACTGTGCTTTATGGATGTCCTTATTTATATCACAGTCATATATCATTTATTTTTCTATCATTTTTTTTTTTATTTCATTTCCGGTAATAGCATCATCAGTGCTTATTAGAGAAATGTGGGCTTTTGAGATTTATGTGATAGTTAGTTCATATTAAGTAAAATTTTAGTGGGTATGAAGGGACGGAGGGAGCGAAATATGATCTAACTTATTCAGAACCTATCGCGCTTTTTCATTGGCTAATTAGTCAGCCTGCGGAGTTACTACTTAGACATAATTAAGTGGTCAACTTTACAGAAAATTTATCAGCTGCTGATTGGAGGAAAAAGCGGGTTGGGTTCTAAATTTCTTTTACCTGTGAAAATCAACCATGTGCAAAGTAATTTATGCTGCTTCTTTTTTTAGTTTATTTTTTGTAATAGGTGCTAGTATCTGTGATTTTTTTTGCTTATCCATAAACATGTTAAAGTGTCATTTTATATGGTTCATTTAAATTATCTTTTGTTTTACTAACAATGTATTTTTACTAGTGATGGGGAATCGGAAAAAAATCAGAATCGATTATCAGTAATAATCGGCTGGGCATAATCGATTAATCATCGATTATAATCGAAATTTTGAACTTAATAAAGAAAAGTTGAAACTTATTCAAATTTCTGTCAGACTTTTACAAAAAAATCATTTACTTACATAAAAAATTCAAAAATGTTAATTGAAATTTCTTTTTTAAAAAGTGGAAAATAATATTTTGTTTTCTTTAAACAGTATAGGACTATTGAAACAGAATTGGAATTTATTTTTCATAATGTCCATGCAATGGGTATTTTACTGATATTAGTTCCACCTTTCATTTAATACATGTATATTTATTTCTTAAAATTAGTTTTAATTAGTTTAAATTGCAAGTTTTAATAATAGTTATCCAGAAGTAAGACTTGTATTTCTGATTATAATTACGTTTAAAGATTGACTAGACTAATTATGTTTTCCTGTGTATAGTAAACCCTTACAATTTCACTGTTTCCTGGTTTTAGTCTGACCCCATATTTAATCATGGCGGTAAAAGTATCAACAAGACACGCAATCATTCCATGTTTTCAACATTCATTACTACTTTTATGCTCTTTGCACTTGGATTTGGTAATAAAATTAAAGTATGACAATTTTATTTTTTGTTAGCGATGTCGGCGACATTTATTTTATAATCGATTAGTAGCATCGAAGAGCTTCTAACGACCGACAATCGATTGTCGGCGACAATCGTTCCATCACTTATTTTTACTAATTTTTATCTTTGTGTAAATATGTTAGAGTCGGTTAATGAGCTAACCGCAGCTCATGTTATTTCTATGTGCCAGCTAAAAATAAAATATGCTTGACTTGACTTGAATGCCAGCAAGGTGCATTTGCACGTAGACCTATACAAAGTATTTTCATTTTTGGGTGCACAATGTTCAAATATTTTCATTGGGGGGGATGGGGACTCTATGACAAGCAAAATAAAAAATAAGGGCCATTTGGATGTGTTACTGTGGGTGGGAACACATGCATACAATGGCTATAATTTCTAAATCTACATACAGGTCCCCCCCCCCCCCTTCAATGTACATGATCATGTTGTCTGTACTTATATGATACACTGACTTATTTACATGTATAAGTACAGAAGTCTAGCTGTTAGAACATATGCACGGAACTTACTGCAGCATCTGAAGATTTCCCGTTAAACATTGTTAAATAGGAGTACATGATACACCCCCACCCCATCCCTTCTCCCCTTCCCAAGATGTATGCAGGCGAAACTAAAATAAATATGGATATGTGCAGTACATGTTTAGTCATATTAAATTTTTCAAATTATAAATACACACTTTGCCGAAAATTTACCCGTGAATCACTGCAATAAATATGGAGACATGTTTGTTTTCAATATGTTCATTCAGGACTTGAAACGGGATGTTTACGAAGTTTTGTGCATGTGCAAAAGCCTAGTCCTAAGGTTGCAAATAAGCTCGTTCCTTATTTATGGGCGCCGCCATGTTTGGATCACGTGACTTGACGCCATGAAGGTGCTGATAGCGTCATAATTCGGCCATTCTCAATGCAGAAACTTTCTCCGTTATTCATCAATGTGTTGGCGTAAAACTAATACAAACACACGTTTATATTAAGTTAAAGTTATCTGATTCATTCTTTTAGTTGGTCTTTTTTTTCTCGTTTTCATTGTTCGTATGATTACATGTTTTAAAATCAATTGATATTGATCGATTGATTGTTATTGTTGAAGACCGAGTTGGTTTTTTACCCATATTTCGGAGGTTTTATAAGTATCACGCCGGCCCGGGTTTCTTTGAAATAAATTTTAGCAAGATTATAAAAGGCGAAACCTTATATAAGTAAGAATGTCAGATCTTTTACACAGTGTGAGAGGGGGGTGGGGGTTGGGGGTGGAGGGGGTCTCAAGTAAAATTATAACAGGTGATTTGTAAACCCGATCGACAATAAATATTTGCATACAGATGCAAACAAATGTACGACTGAAACTTTTTAGTGACCTATAGAGTCCATGGGTCTCTTGTTTTTAAGCTTTGTTAATTGTTGATTATAATATCTACCAAGAACTATTTTATAGTATTTTGATAATTTATTGATTTTTTGATGTGTTAAACTTCCCTGATACTTGATAACACAACGTATATAAGCTTTGAATTAAAGCAATATGAGCTGCATGTTTGACATCGGAAAAAAATATTTCAAATTTGTTATTAACTATTTCAATGACAGGAAAATAAAACGTTAATTTGTAAACATCTTTTGTTCATATTTGCTATGGAAGAACTTTTTATTAGTTTTGATTGAAGCAAATTTGAATTCTTGTCGTCCTGTACAATAATGATTTCTTATATTATACGGTATATTCGGTTGTACAAAAGTATTGCTTCTGAAACATTTTTAAACTTTATTTTGGTCTTATTGATCATAATGATTTAGATTACATACAGATTAATCATAATAACTCATTTTACCAGCAAAATAAAAATTCTCAAAAATGCAGCTCATATTGCTTTAATCATCTACTCTCTATTTCATTGTTTTCGCCATTTGATGCATATGATAAGATGGGATTTTGTGATGATAAGTAATCGCGAAAAATAAGGAATTTACAGCATTCCTCATAATTATAAAGTATCCAGACTGTTGAAAACTGTTCATAAGGTGTCTTTGTTATTCACTCTTGTTATAAACTATCAAAGTCATTGTAGATTTAGATAGAATTCGAGGGGGGGGGGGGTCCTTGGGAAAAAGTAAAGGCATTTTATCCTTTAACTATATTCGTTGCATGCAAATATCAAAATCAATATGCCTAATCAACTGAACTGTTGAAAAATACTGTAATCAAATGTTTTCATATAGTAGTATATGTTGCAGATTCAAATGTAATTACTTTATATATATAACATCTAGCTTTACATAAATAACTGAAGTATACGTACCTGCTATAATAGCTTCTACCACGTCCATCCACCCCTCAATCATCAATCTCATGAATGTTATAGATCTACTGGCTTGTGGGTTTGAAATATCACGGTTAATGATACGGTCTTGTGTTGTACACCAATAATGTAAGGGGGAATAGCCGGCCACGTCTATGAAGAAGTCTCTGTCTATGTCACTCAGTAGACAGTTCTCTATGTAAGATTGACTTATCTCATTAAGTTTGTCCATTGTGAGAGTATACATAGTTCTGTCAATGTTAAATATTTCTCTGACACGTCTCATCAGTCCCCTGTCCTCCAGCTCCTCCAGTGTCTTCCTGACATCAATCTCTCCCATAGTGACTTCATCATCATCCAGATTGATATAAACTTGGAAATCATCAAAACCCAGGTACAGGGTCTAGAGAACGACAAGCTGATTCCTTGTTAAATCTGATAACGAATCTGTGAAAAACATGATAGTAATTATCTCTGATATCAGTATCAATCACAAAATAGTAAAAAAAAAAAAAAATTAAGATTTAAATTAAACAATACAAACATTAATTTGATATTTCATATTTGACAAAAATTTTAGATGACTTTTTAACCAAAACCTTGATTTTAATGAAAATAACTTTAAATTAGTGCTAAAAGGTTGATTTTCATTTCAAATCTGATTCTCACCTTTGTCATACTCACTACTTGTATCATCAGAAATGTCGTTACTAGTATCATCAGATATGTTGCTTCTTGTTCCAGCAAAGGCGTTCGTATCCAGTCGTTTTCTTTTAATGTCCTATTGATGAAATGCCAATTCATTAGGAAGAGACTTTGTAGAATATTGTGAGCTAGATATCTTAAACCTCTAATCGTTAGGATTCTGCTTCATAATATAACTTAAATGAATTCATAAATATGTTAAATCATTTTAGCATATGTTGAAGAGGAAAAAATGTTGATGTTAATTAAAAAAAAGTACATTTTTTCCTGTTCATTATTGCATTAAAAATAAACTTACATCTCCCTCATCTTCCGTTGTTCCTTCGCAATCTCTCTTCTCTGACATAATTTACTGCTTAGTACCTTTATACGTCACATCTAATGTCAAAATGATAAGTCTTATATTATCTAATAATATTTTTTTAATGTAGAGCTATATAGGCAAGTTTTTTCTAGCAACAATTTCATATATTATGCATTATCCAGCACTGCTCCCCAAAGTCTGTACTAGTGTTTATTTATGTCGTTTCTTATACTTTGAACATATATATGTAATGAATATATACGCGCCAAGCAAAAACCTCCCTTATCTTTATTATGACGTAACGTCAGAAAACGAGTCTAACGTCAACAACGTAAAAACGTCTCCTTGTGAGAAACTCTCGATCCCGGTAGAACAAGGGGATGTTGTTATATTTATATGTTAAGATAGATTCTTGGGTTTAATTTGATGTAGTTTACTAATTACAAACCTAGTCTTCATCAAGTGTCTGTGTAATCTTTTCTTTTCACAATTAACTAGGGCTAATTGTAACGGGAACCGTTACAGATGTTCCCCAAACGCTCCCCATCTCCCTTTTGGTGCCTTATTCACTGTAAGCTTCATTAAATAAGACGAACTCTATGCGTTTTAGACTATAACAATGTTTTCACAGAAGTATATTCAGTATATTCAAATTTATGCATTGCACGCATGCGCATATGAATGCATGTGCGTAATGACCATATCATCTTGTCTACACTATTTATATACTAGAAATTACAGCGTTTTATCCAAAAGTATTAAAAAATACGTTTTAATCTAGTGTATTTGTAATTTAATTCATTTCACATGCACGCACGTGCATGCATGTGCATGTCGACCATATTTTCTTGTAGGAGTCTGTTATGTTTGTCTATGTTCTAAATCCCATCCTGTTTGGTTGAAAAACGAGGAAGTTATAGCCATTTTAAGTTTAAGCCAATCAGATTGCAGCGCACGTGTATGCGCATGTTTTCACGAAAACTGTTATATATCATATTGTAGGACATCCTAATGCATGATTATGTTTAAAATTTTAAAGCATTTCGTCAAAAATCAAAAAAAGATATTGCGATTTTTGTTTCAGCGAATCACAGCAAAGCACACGTGCATGCACGTGCATGCATGTGCATGACGACCATACCTCCTTGTGGGAGTCCATTATGTTTGTCTATGTTCTAAATCCCATACTGTTTCATTGAAAAACAAGGGAGTTAAAGCCATTTAAAGTTTAAGCCAATCAGATTGCAGCGCACGTGCATGCGCGTGTTTACATGACAATTGTTATATATCATATTGTAGTACATCCTAAAGTATGCCTATATTCTAAATTTTATAGCATTTCGTCAAAAAAAAAAAAGATATTGAGATTTTTGTTGCAGCCAATCAGAGCGAAGCGCACGTGCATGCGCGTGAGTTCGTGCTAATTTGACAGTGTCACATTATCTACACTATTAATATATCCTTATTAAATGAGTTTTAAAATATTTCATCAAAAAATGTTAAAGTTATGGCTATATAAAGTATATCCGTCATTTCACTCATTTCACGCGCCCGCACGTGCATGCGTATGCGCGCAAAATAACCTTCGTGTTGCACACCTACACTACACACCTATTAACCCTAAAAAGGTTTTAGCTCAGTTGGGTGAACAGTTTCTGAGAACACTCGCGGACAAAAAAGTACCGGAGAACAAAGAAGAAAAAAAAGAATAACAATAATAATAATAATAATAATAAGAAACCGAGTAAAAACAATATGTTCCCAAACTCCGTTTGGGGAACATAATTAAGTGTGTATTTTTTAAAGATTTCCAGTGGTGGCTGAAAAATTCTCGTAAGGCCGTTTTAAAATGAAGTTTGTTTGCCCTCTCCCTATTAGTGTTAAAAAATTGCATCGGTGGGTAATTATGTTCCCCAAACGAAGTTGGGGAACATATTGTTTTTACTCTGTTTCTTATTATTATTATTTTTCTTCTCGGGAAAATTTTGTCCGCGAATGATCTTGTAAAGTACACATCCGATTAAGGGGAAACCTTTTTAGGGTAAGTGGGCATGTTATGTAGATGTGCGGAACGAAGGTCATTTTGCGCGCACGTGCTTGCAAGAGCGCGCACGTGCAACACGTGGAATGACCAATATACTTGAAATTGCCGTAACTTTTACATTTTTCGATGTAATGCTTTGATATTTAGAATATATAGACATATTATAAATGTAGATAAGATGACATTGTCAACATGCCATTTTGTGTGCACGTGCTTGCAAGAGCGCGCACGAGCAACACGTGAAATGACCGATTTAATTGATATCGGCGTAAATTTTTACCTTCTTGATGAAATGCTTTGAAACTCGTAATATAAGGATATAGTTGTAGCATAGACAATATGACATGGTCAAAATAGCAAGATCTCACGCGCATGCACGTGCACTTCGCTCTGATTGGCTGAAACTAAAATCTCAATATCTTTCTTGTTTTTTGATGAAATCCTTTGAAATTTTGAACATAGCCATGCATTAGGATATCCTACAACATGATATATAACAATTTTCATGAAAACACGTGCATGCACGTGCGCTGCAATCTGATTGGCTGAAACTTTAAATAGCTATAACTCCCTTGGTTTTCCACCAAACAGGATGGGATTTGGAACATAGATAGATATAATAGACTTCTACAAGAAGGTTTGATCACAATGCACATCCGTACACGTGCATGAACGTACGCTGCAATCTGATTGGTTGAAACTTTAATCAGCTATAACTCCCTTGGTTTTCAACCAAACGGAGTGGTATTTAGAACATAGATAGATGTAATGGACTTCTACAAGAAGGTATGTCACCATGCTCATGTATGCACGTGCGTGCACGTGAAATGAGTAAAATCAAAAATACAATTGAATGAGCGTATTTTTTAATACCTTTGGATTAAATACTTTAATATTTAGTATATTAAAGTATATAGATTGTGTAGACAAGATGATATGGTCATTACGCACATGCATTCACATGCGCACGCGTGCAATGCTAAAATTTGAATGAACTTTGTACCCTTCTCGGTAAACGTTGTTAAAGTCTCAAATGCATAAAGTTTGTCTTATTTAATGAAGCTTACAGGGAATATGGCACCAAAAGGGAAATGGGGAGCGTTTGGGGAACATCTGTAACGGTCCCCGTTACAATTAGCACTAGTTATTATTTTTCTTCTTCCTGGGCACTTTTTTGTCCGTGAATGATCTCGTAAACTACACATCCAACTAAGGTGAAATGTTTTTAGGGTCAGTAGACATGTTATGTAGATTTGCGGAACGAAGGTCATTTTGCGCGCACGTGCTTGCAAGAGCGCGCACGTGCAAACACGTGAATAACCAAAATAATGTATAGTGCCGTAACTTTTCTATTTTTTGATGAAATGTTTTGAAATTCATAATGTAAGGATGTATTAGTAGTATAAACAAGATGACGTGGTCAATATGGGAAGATCTCACGCGCATGCACGTGCGCTACGCTCTGATTGGCTGAAACTTAAGTCTCAATATCTTTCTTGTTTTTTGACCAAATCCTTTGAAATTTTGAACATAGCCATGCATTAGGATATCCTACAAAATGATATATAGGAATTATCATGAAATCACGTGCATGCACGTGCGCTGCAATCTGATTGGCTGAAATTTTAAATAGCTATAACTCCCTTGGTTTTCAACCAAACAGGATGGGATTTGGAACATAGAAATATATAATGGACTTCTACAAGAAGATATAGTCACCATGCACATGCATACACGTGCGTGTACAAACGCTGCAATCTGATTGGCTGAAACTTTAAACAGCTATAACTCCCTTAGTTTTCAACCAAACAGGTTGTGATTTGAATAAGATATATATATATATATAATGGACTTCTATAAGAAGGTATGGTCAGCCTGCACATACATACACGTGCGTGTAGGTGCGCTGCAATCTGATTGGCTGAAACTTTAAACAGCTATAACTCCCTTGGTTTTGAACCAAACGGGGTGAGATTTAGAACATAGATAGATGTAATGGACTTATACAAGAAGGTATGGTCACCTTGCTAATGTATGCACTTGCGTGCACGTGAAATGGGTAAAATTAAAAATACACTTGAATGAGCGTTTTTTTTTTATACTTTTGGATTAAATACTTTAATATTAAGCATATTAAAATATAAAGATTGTGTAGACAATATGATATGATCATTACGCACATGCATTCACATGCGCAAGTGTGCAATGATAAAATTTGAATGAACATAGTACACTTTTGGGTAAACGTTGATAAAGTCTCAAATGCATAGAGTTTGTCTTATTTAATTACGCTTACAGGGAATATGACTATAAAAGGGAGTTGGGGAGCGTTTGGGGAACATCTGTAACGGTCCCCGTTACAATTAGCACTAGTTCGAATTTGTTTTGTCGGACATTTTCGGTGTTGAAAAAGATTGAAGGCATTTCTAAAATAAAAAAGAAAGTTGTTGATAGGATGAGAAAATTCCGGAATGAATAATTTGAAAGTATTAAAAAGATTTTGGTCGATTCATTTTAAAAGGTCAAACAAACAAGTTTTTAAAGATAGTTTTTATTAAATTTAATGTTCAGCTTGTTCATCTTGATGCACATGCAAGAAAAATTTAACAGGAGCATTAAACTAAGTTTTTATTTCAAATAACAAGGCAATGAAAATTGACCTGAATAACTTCTCTTCTCTATGGAATGAATTAAATAGGTACCCAATTTATACGGTATAAACTGAGTTGGGACAGTTAACGCTGCCGTTTATATAATTAAAACGTAAACTATTATTGATAAATAGTTAAGTTAAATTAATAAAAAAAAAAAAAAAACATTCTGAATAGATACGACACAGAGTATTTGATTTGGACACTTCTTCCGGAATTAGTTTTAGCTATTGATTTAAATGAAAGACCTGTTGAGCTTCTCAATTCATTTTATTGTTGGACACCTCATGTTGTACAAAAAATGTAGACCCCCCCCCCGCCTTTCTCCTGTGTCACGTGTCTGCTCTATTTCTTTGGATACTTCTTGAAATTGTCGTGAATATATGGATGCTCGCATACGTTGTTAGTTACAGTCCCACTATCTAAAATATTTTATGATTGAAAATTAAACCGATTGATCATATGTTTATCGATCTTTTCATAATCTGTTAGATGAAGTTAAACACAATACACCGAATGTAAAAATCGCAAACATGATACATCGCTTAAATTTTATGGTTTTGTGGTTTATTATTCGGCTCATATACAATGACCGGTTCAAAATTAATTCATGATTAATTTCATACATAAATATACAATAGAAAACGGAACGCCAGGAAATATATATCAAATGTTAAAAAATTACCAAGAAAAAATGATTGAACACTTTAACATTTGATGCATCTAATCTTTATTGATTTGATTTAAACAGGCATTATTTTATTGAATTATGCAAACGGATCGGAAACAAGATTGACAACTTTAAAGTTCTTCTTGTGAAACTCATGACATGACTCATTTCATAACGACCCCGAAGAAAAAAGGACCAAACTCTACTACAAGAAACAAATTCAATTTATTCTTGGGTGCAGAATATCTTTTCAACAAGCCAAAACGTCTTCAGTATTAAAACATTCAAAACTAAAACATGTAAAAAGTTAACTTGTGGGACAAGAAAATTTTACGTTAATTTTCCTTTAGATAGAAAAATACCTGTCAAACTCTTTAAATTTCAGGATTCGTATGCATAAAAATTCTTAAGTCCTTAAGCATATACTTAAGTATTGTTTTTCTGCTTAGCAGATTGAAATTTTACTTAGCATATTGCTTAGTGTGTTGCATAAAACTTCTCAACTCCTACGTATATGCTCAGCATATTCGTAAAGTTAAGCATGGTCCATACCTGTCTTAAGTCCTTAAGCATGTTGCTCAAGTTATTTCTAATAGCTAATTACACAATAATAATTATAGGAACTTTACAAAAAAAAGAAAGAAAACAATGGAGAGTATTAATCACAATCTGCATGTATCCACTTTATAATGTGGCTTCCTAGACCTAAATTCACTTTAGGCTAATATTGGCGTTTATGGACTTATCAAGATGCTAGCGTTTGATTTTCAAAACATTTTAAAAATTGACGAAAGTTAATTGTTGTGTAGTTTTGATAGAAATATAACAAGAGATAGTTATAAGAGGAAGAATGATTAAATTAATAGGAATAATACTTTCATAATCTTATGCCAATCTTTTGTTTCTTTATCATGGCATGTGTTTGTTTACGTTTAAGTAAAAGCGGAAGTGACTTTATTGACATGGCAACAGTGTACTTAAGCATGCTTAGCTAAGAATTGATAAGTATGTTGCTTAGAATTTTTATGCAATGGAAATTAAGCATGTTACTCAGCTAAGAATAAACTTAAGACATTTAAGCATATACTTAAGAAAATTCTTAGAATTTTTATGCATACGAATCCAGGTATTTAAAACATGAACTATGACAATAGTTTCTATCTATTTTGTTTATTGCATAGACTTTTAATGTCCGAGGGTTCGGGGCTGGGGGTGGGGGGGGGGGTAATGGCTGTCTCGAACTTTTAAAAAATAAATACTTTGATAGAATAACAGTGACAATTTAATTCATCTGGTTAATTGTGATTGAACCCGAGGCCTCTGTGCATTACCGAATTAGCTTAAGGGTTAACCCACTAGCCCAAGCTAGTAGGAAGTTGTACATGTGTCGTTTGTACTACCACAATAGCATTTTTTTTATCCAAATATTGCTTTCGTTTACTATTGCAATGATGTAGATTTCTGCCATTTTACTGCATTGAAAAGCCGTAAATTGAAAACTTTCCCAGAAAAAGAGAAGATTTTTTGATGTTGTCTTTTTTTTCCTTAACGATCATTTCGACCCCCCCCCCCCCAATCGTCTTTCGTTTCTCAATTACTCAAAGATATACTTTAGAATGTTTATTTTCTATTATCACGATGAAAAATCTTAATTGTTGATACTTTTAAGGGAATCAAATCAAAAGTTTAATAATCTAAATATCATAAAATTATTATATATCTTTACGTCATTTACGATTTTACGTTATGAAAATTCATGCAGTTACACACGCGTACACTGCACGTCATATAAATATTCCGTCTTTTTCATGCGATATCTTATACATTTATACACAGAAATATATGTCATGTTATACATCAAATGAAAGAGAAATAAAAACTCTACAAGAATCAATAAAAAACTGAAAATGTCAAAATTCTTCGTTAAGTGAGGTTTTTGCTTGGCGCGTCATATATATATATATAAATATATATATATATATATATATATATATATATATATATATATATATATATATATATATATATATATATATATATATATGCATTTACTCATTGTGAGTTTTTTAATGTGTTGTCCTTCCCATCCATATGGTACACATGTACCGCGCACTGGTTATCTGAAAAGTAATGTTTAATTAATAAAACAAAGGTCATTGAAGATTGATCAGATATGTTTTAGTTACATTACTAATGCTGTGTCACCTTGACATTTTACATATATAACTGTTAGAATCACAGGCATCTGAAGTGTGGATATGTGTCTGTGATACACCGATGCTTTCGTATGGCCGTTTAAGGGGAAGGTAAACATTTCTCAAATGCAAGTTTAATAGAGTCCAAGGTCGAGTTCTAAAGAAATAAATTTTTATACTTAACATGCCTTTTCTGTCAGCACCAAAAATTTTACTATAGGGTTTGGAAACAACATATCACTGATTTTGATGAAATTTGCACCACAGGTCACCTTGGTACAAAACCAGAAAATATGGTGCTAGAAATTTCCCATGTGCACCCGGTTGCCATGGAGACGGATCCATTGAATTTGGCCATTTTCGACTAAACAAAATTTAACATGGTAATTGAAGAAATATAAATGCAATTTAACCTTTATGTAGCAAACTCAAATATAAATCTTTGTATCATAAGAAAACATTGACTGCTAAGGAATACTGGGCATATAATTAAGTTATTCCAGAATTAACCCCACTCTTAGAAATTGGTCCTGCAAAATGGCATAGTTTCTGAAAATGTGTAAAATGGAAAAATTTGCAGAAATTTAAGGTTAATTAAAAGGTCCAATTGATCATATTCCTTCATATTTCAACCAATTTGAATTTTTTTATAGTTGCTATTTTGAATTAGAAATCATTATTTTTTTTTAAATTATATAAATTTTTGGAAGCCTCCTTTATTTAAAAAAAATTCTTTAAAAAAGATTCTCCAACAAATATTTCTGCTACAACCTCTTAACATTGGTAAGACAAGGAGGGAAAATCACCGAGTCGACCTCCAGGCGACCAACGGGTGGTAACTTTCACTAAAATCAGGCCTATCGAAAATTATCTATAAAAGAACATTCAATGGAATGAAGGGGTTTCCATTTCTATTTATAGTAACACATGTTTAAAAAAAGACGTACTGCAAAAGATCGGTAAAATGTAGTTTTTACCGGCCGCCAGGAGGCGGTCGGTTATATGATATGAAAGTTTTAAGTCACAGTGCGTTTCTGCGGAGTTAACAATTTAAATAAAAATATTCAACATCATATTGCAGGCGTTTTAATATCAAACAAAGATTTCTAAATGTTTAGGAAAAAGCACAATAATCGTAAAATTCAATTTTATAAATAATAGGGTAAATATTTCATCCAATCCTGATTGACAAACTCTGATATAACTGAAGTGCAGAGAAAATTAGTAGGAGTGTAAGGCATAGTCTAAAACAAAGACCACGTCGTAAATCAACGATTTTATACTTTCTCTTTTTAAAACAGGATCTGCCGTATTAATTTGAAATGAAGTGTTTATTTAAACATTTCCTATGGTTATTTTTCAAAAATATGATTAAATATTGATTTCTTAAAAGCAAAGAATATTATGACATGTTGGTCCAGGAAACTAGGATAGAGCGCGTTATACAATGTGCCAAACATTTTCCCGCCACATCTCGACACCAAAACAAAGAGATTGAAAGAGAAGAAGTGTAGTGGTGGATCTTGAAGGAAATTGGGGGGGGGGGGGGAGGTTAACCTCCTATAAGATAGAGCCAGGAGCCCCACATGTTAAATATTTGTTGCGTTTTTATTAAGGTCAATTTTTAGCTAAGTTTAAACTTTAGTTTAATTTGTACTTTTAATGTATATACTGTATATTGACTATTGCATAGTTTAAACATGTATATTGCCTATACATATAATACTGTATAATACTGTACATGCATAATGCAATCGGCATTGTTGCATGCATTTTTTTTTCATGTCACGAGGATATTTTAACAGATAAATGTAAGATTTTTTTTATAAACAGCAAATTTAATCAGTTTCTGAAGAATTTATTTTTAAAAACAGCAAATTTCAGTTTCTGAAAGGAACTTCAACAGTTATAAAAAGTGGTTTGCGGCCGATTTTTGACGCTTGCGTCAATATGTTTCTTGTTAGTACTTTTTTCTCACGTTTTGGGTCAATCGGATCACCTTGCCCTTTTCCGTCGCACGCTAGAAAAGGCGAGGTGATCCGATTACAGGTGTTATCTGGCGGCCGCCATATAAATTATGTGGCGGCCGCCAGATATATAAGTGGCAGCCGCCAGATATATATTTGGCGGCCGCCAATTAGATAAGTGGCTCCGCCAGATGTTATATAGCGGCCGCCAGAAAAATATGTCGCGGCCGCCAGATATCATATAGCAGCCGCCAGAAAAATATGTGGCGGCCGCCAGAAAAACTATGTGGCGGCCGCCAGAAAAAACTATGTGGCGGCCGCCATATAAATTATGAGGCGGCCACCATATATTAAGTGGCGGACGCCAGATATATAAGTGGCGGCCGCCAAATAATAAGTAGCGACCGCCACATAATTTTGTGGCGGCCGCCAGATATAAGAGTAGCGACCGCCAAATAATATGTGGCGGCCGCCAGATAAAATAATTTTTGTACGTGGCACCAACGGGCTTCCTTACCTTCATGTTACTCAGTCCAGTCCAATACGAAAATTCATAATATTACGTTTTTTTGTAATTTTACAATTTTCGTATTGGAATTGACTGTTATCATACTTTAGTATACAGTTGGTTGGGGAGGGAGCAACCAGCCTTTTTATGAACAATTTCAATATATAGTAAAGTAGTGTTGAAAAAAAGTGGGGAGACAGGTCCCCCCCTCGTTGCCAAGTGCCTGCGGGAAGGAGGTTGTAATGTGGAATGTTAAAGACTCATGCGATGAAAAAAGCATATTTCTATGCGTTTTACAGGAACAAAGAATCCTTTATGCTAAAAAAAGGCGGGGGCAATAAAAATAATACAGACCAAACAAACAAAAAGAAAACAAGTGTCCAACCTCAAGAATCCAAATTTGTGAAGAACGCCGGGGGAATGGGGTAGGTTTGTTTTTTCAGTACAAAATTTTATTTATGCACTACTTCATTACCCTTACATGACGATACAGCAACAAAAATGGGGTCTTTCAATGAAGATTTTCAATGGAAAAAAGTTACGCTTTGAATACCCCCCCCCTCCGCTGAAAAAAAAGCTACGCGCAAATTTCTCCCCACATTTACTACAGGAAAAATCTATTTCCTTTTATTGTAAGAGATGCAACACCTCTTTTGCCTACCAGATGATCCTCATTCTGTTTATTGGTTGTTTTAAACGGACGAAATCTATATTCATGAAAGAAAAAAAATAAACATAGAAAGAGCCTTTGAGTTGAAACCCTCTTTGTTAACAAACTTTGAAATCAAGATAGGTACAATAGAATTTAGCTATAAAAGTTTATATTTCTTACAGAAATAGAGAATGTTATGAGTTAAAAAAAGTTTCATGGAATAAATTTAATTCAATTGTCATCTATCATCCTGAAAATGAGCTTTAAAGGCCCGCATTTGAAATTTATAGAGCAAAGAATGTCAGCGACACCAAAACTTTTCCCAGTCGACTGACCTATCCAGAAGTGTTTGCACGTAACGCTTTCAACCAGCCTTTTGCACTAAATTGGAAGGTAATACTAGTAGATTCTTGCAACCCAAGCGCATGTCATTTGTCCCTAATGAATTCATTGGCAAAGGATTTTTACAAATATATTTTCCAAATGCAAAAATCAACGCTTCAGAGTTGAAACTTAAGTTGATACTTAACCGAAACCCCACATGTGCCTCTATACATGGTGGTCTCTATAAGGAAAGTAATATCAAATTTATGCCGACATCTGTTAAAAATATCCCTACGTTTTATATCAATTGAAGCAAGTCCCCGACAATTTTAGCAACAAATTTTTAAATCATTTATAAAATATAAAAAAAAGAAGATGAAAAGATTGTTTGTTATTTCTATGTCAGTCTGTAAATTGTTTGTTTATATATGTAGACAGTTTTCTTAGTATAAAACCCTCAAGCACACTGATGTAAACACCCTCTCAACCAATTAAATAAAAACTTCAGCATTTTGAAACCCGGAATATTGAAAAAATGACATTCTGTTCATTCAAATATTTACTAATCTTATTTCTAACAAAACGGTATAAACATAAGACATTTTATATAAAAAGTTGATAATATTTTTTTGTCAATTTAACATAACACTTTTATTACCAAGCTAACATATTGTGAAAATCGTTTTCATCTCTAATACTTTACTTAGTACTTATCCCATTCGTCCCATATGGGACATAAGGCTTTAACAAGCTGTCTCAAACTTCCTCATTTTCAAAGTCTAAGGAGAAACAATTCTAAGAATTATGCACTTTTCTAAATCTGTGACATGATATTTAGTCTTCTCCAAAGAAAAAAGTGTCTGATCATCTGTTCTTAAATTGTAAAAATTACTTCCACCCCCATTTGTAAAAGTTTTAACTTAATTTACATGTACACCATCTTATAAGACAGTGCCAAAGGTTTTACGGAAAACGAGAAAACATGCATATATAATTTTCCTCCTTGATGCCAATATAGAATGTTCTATCGTTTAAATGATATTGTCCTACAAGAGATTCCGTGTATTCGTAATGTAGCAGAAAGAAACACGGGCGATAGTGCATTTACTAGGAACAATCTAGAGAGTTCCGAATGTAAACATTTGAATGGAGAGAAAAACGTTGAGAAAATTAATTGGATTTACGTATTTAAATGGATTATTTTTTGGGATAAAAGGCATAAGCAATCCCAAGAAGGTTTGTTTTGATTATTTTTGGTAGTTATTCCCGGTGCAAATCATTTAACATTCTTCAAAATCGTTTCGGAGTGGATCCGCTCCGATTTGCTACGTTGCAAGTATATCATGTATATGGGACGTATTCTAACTGTGGTGAGAACCTGTACCGAGACACAGTTAGATTATTCTAACTTATTTCCCGCAAGAGATTTCAGAATGAACATATATGATCAGCTGTTCTACATGCTTTAGAAAAACGATTTGATTTCTGCTAATGATATTTTGTCCAATATTGAGTTTAAAGATTGAGTTGAATAAAACTTACCTATGTTACTAGTTAGCTAGATTCCTGAATAATGTTAATGGTTTGTAGGAATACTTGGATCACCTCCTCGTGAAGGGGTATTATATATCCATTGGTCAGTCAATTGGGGTATATACCATAAATAAGGCACTTATTAAACAGTTTTAAAAGAAGAACAGACCTACTTTCTTTCCTCAATGAAGCACGGAATGTCACTCTTCATTATACCACTAAAACAATATTAAATGTTCTTATTTTAATCTATCTACACTCAAACATGAATCTGAATCGTATTATATCAACACATTTTTTCGCTCGGGAGGAAGTTTGTCTTCCGGAATCCAGGAGGCCTGCAAAGGAAAAAAAAAGTTAAAATATTGCCACCGGCCTCTGTAATTGTCGAATCTTATAATAAACCGCAATTATTTTCTATTCTACAAACGAACATTGCCCGATTCTCTTGCTAACAGGTACATGTATATAAAAAATATACACTTATATGCTTAACTTAAACTAAAGTAGACAGTAGTTTTACTACAATGATGTTGGGGCCCCCGATAGGCACTTCCATCTCTGCATTGGATATATTGTTCTCATTCGACACAACGTCAAGTGCCCCTGCTCTCCATCTTAATTGTGACATATCTGTCATTTTATAGATAAAGGTTTTTGTGACCTAAAAAAGCATCCTTAGCAATCTGCATACCTATCCGATTATGTTTACAGTTTTGCTTTATATTTAAGGACAAAACTATAATTTTCTAAGCTTGAATTATAAAAAATCAAATTTCGAGTAAAGATAAGATAAGATATTTATTTAAAGTCGGGTATATCAAACAAAAAAACATTAGCTCTGAAGAGCTATTTTCCGACTTCATAGTAATATTACATAAAATACAATAATCATATATAATAAACAAGAAACAGCTTTAAAATTTTACATCACACTACTAAAATGTCAGTATTACTCCTTGGTGCTTTACAATGATATAGCATTCATCACATTTAGACCAACAATTGATAATAAATTAAACCCTGTTTACCAGTTTACTAGTTTCTAAAAATAAAATTAGCGACAAGCGCAGCAATTACAACAATTTCCGTACCAACTACTTATATTTGATTTGAACTGGTTAAAGGTACTTGGACACAGATTTGAAGTTAATATTTTCTCTATAATATTACAACTTACATATTTTAATAGCATTCACACAAAAATTAATTTAAAATCTTATGTCATTTAAAAGTTATTAAAACTTTAAATTTTTTGGCGGGTTTGATTGACACATCCTTGCACTTTCACAAATCTTAACTTTATTCTTAATCCTTAGGAAAAGTGGCAATCCTGATGTGTATTAATGAAAAATATTAATACTATAATCCAGAAAATTCAGAGTAGACAAGTACGAAAGCAGAACAAACACACAATATATTGTCGGTCCGTGCAGATGTGGTGAACAGACTTTGGTGATTTAACGCACCCGATGAATCGTAAACACCAAACAATAACATGTTTACAAAAACCTGTGTACATAACACGAGTGTGATCGATTCGCAAAACTCTGTACACAATGGAATGGAGAAACTTGTGAAGTAGTTCTGCTTTCTAACGTTTCTACTCTGAATAAAATTATTCTTCTTGATTTCAGTTTTAATATTTTTTATTAATACACATCAGGATTGCCACTTTTCCTAAAGATTAGGAATAAAGTTTAAATTTGTGAAAGTGCAAGGATGTGTCAATCAAACCCGCCAAAAAATTTAAAGTTTTATTAACTTTAAAATGAAATAAAATTTTTAATTAATATTTGTGTGAAATGCTATTAAAATATATAATTCGTGATATTATACAGAAAAAATGAGAAAATATTAACTTCATATCTGTGCCCAAGTACCTTTAAAAGTAGTAATATTTCTAAAAGATTCTGGTAAAGAATTCCAAAGTTTGGAAGACTCATATCTAAAAGACTTCAACCCATATGTTGTTGATCTTGTTTTTGGTAAAAAAGCAGTATTCGTGTATCTAAAAGAATAAGGTGTTTCTTTAATATGGATAAAATCATGCAAGTAAGAAGGGCTTTGTTTGTGTAAAATCTTAAAACATTCTATGGCCATTGTTCTTATGCGCCTGAGTTTGAGACATGGCAATTTTGACTTTTCCAGAAGGTAATTATATGATTTTTTTTAATCGTCATAAACAAAACGCAATGCTCTTTCTTGTATTTTTTCCATTTTTCTTGTTTCTCGTTCACCACAAAAATGCCAGACTAATGGACAGTAGTTGAAGTTTGACATAATAATTGTATGATGAATGGTTAATTTTCCTAATTTGGTCAGGTGTACTCCTATTCTTTTAAGTACATTGAGTTGTTGCGATGCTTTTTTACAAATGTTTGAAATATGAGCACTAAATTTTAGCTCAAAATCTATAGTAACACCTAGTAGTTTTACTTCATTTTCCGGATGAATCATGTTACCATCAATTTCAAAACAAATATTTTCCTGTTTAGTTTTCTTTCCGAGACATATAGCTTGAAATTTATTAGGATTTGCTTGCATTTGATTATCTCCAAACCACTTAACTAAAGTGGAACAATTTGATTCTAAAGTATTCTTTAGTGTTGTAATATCATCACTTGAGTTGGAGAGTGTGTTATCATCTGCATAATTATAGAGATCACACTCTGACACAAAATGAAAAATATTGTTGATAAAAATATTAAAAATAACAGGACCAAGTATTGAACCCTGTTGAACACCTTTGTACAATTCTAAAAAAATCGCTACAAACATTTCCCAGTTTTACACACTGTTTTCGATTGCTTAAATAACTTGATATAAGACTAGTAGCTGCATTTGTAAAACCATATGCACTAAGTTTTGCTAAAACGAAATCATGCGGAATACAATCAAATGTTTTTGATAAATCCATCATAATTGCTGCTGTATATTTCTTATGATCAAGGGCATACTTCCAATCCTCAACAATCCTGATGAGCTTGAGATAAAAAAAAAATACCACAGAGTCCGACTCTTCTGTTTCATACTTGCATATTTTACTTGAAAAAGACACTAATTTTAATCTAACAAACAAGCTATACGATAAACGTGATGACTATAATTTTTCTATCGTAAACTTCACTTACTTATACAGCAATATATTTTCATCACCTGCATACGAAGTATATATGTCTCAGTTGATTCGATACGCAAGAGCATGCTCTACGTATGAACAATTTCTGAAACGAGGTAAATTATTGACAACCAAGTTGATGAAACAAGAATATCAGCACTCTCGTTTAAAGTCATCATTTCGTAAGTTCTATGGTCGATACCACGACCTAGTCAGCAAATACAGTTTATCATTGGGTCAAATGCTGACTGACTTTTTTTTTACTAATTGTTAGTTCATTATTTATACACTGAATTGACGATGGATTTTTCCCCGTTATTTCCTGATTATGACAAGGAGCACACGGAGGGTGTGAACGGTCGGCCGTGGATTCTTTATCCCCCATGGCACCTGATCCCATCTCTGATGTTTCGGGGGTCTGTGTTTGCTCTGCTCTTACTTTGTATTGTTTAATGGACCTTGAGAAAGAATACTGTTTGTCATCTCCATATCCTTCTTACTACAGTAAAAACCTTAGAACTTAAATTTACTATGACGAAAACATTGGAACTTTGATTTACTATAGCAAAAACTTTGGAATTTTGGTTTACAATGGTGAAAACTTTGAAACTTTGGTTAACTATGGTAATAACTTTACAACTTTAGTTAACTATGGTGAAAACTTTAGAATTTCGATTTACTATTGTAAACTTAAGTAAAGTACAAGTAACTTATTAATTATAGTTTACGATAGTATTATTAAACCTTAAAATTAACGGAGCTCATGTCCTGTTTACAAAAACTGTGTACGTTTCAAGAATGTGTTCAATTTGCTAAATTCTGTAGACAACACTAATTGTTGAATGTCGATATTTGTAAAAAGCTTTTGCTTTCTAACATTTCTACACTGAATATATTTTTTTGCGGATTAAAGTTTTAATATTTTGCCACTTTGTCTATGTTTTCAAAATAATAAAATCGAAATCTGTGAAAGTGCAAGGATGTGTCAATTAAACCCGTCCAAAAACTTGAAGTTTCACTAACTTTTAGATAAAATAAGGTTTTTAATTTATTTTCGTGGAAAATGCTATTACAAAATATAAGTCGTATAATATACAGAAAATATTAACTTTAAATATGTCTCTATGCACCTTTAACATACCTGTTTCGCGGGTACTTTTTAGCTTAGAATCATCAAACTTTGCCAGTTGATGCGTTAGTATTCAGATGATGACGATTTATATGTAGGTCACTTTGACCACCTTTTTAGCTCACCTGAGCCGAAGGCTCAAGTGAGCTTTTCTGATCACATTGTGTCCGTCGTCCGTCCGTCCGTCCGTCCGTCTAGCTGTCCGTCCGTCCGTCCGTCTGTCCGTCCGTAAACTTTTCACATTTTCGACTTCTTCTCAAGAACCACTGGGCCAATTTTGACCAAACTTGGTACAAAGCATCCTTTGGTGAAGGGGAATTTAAATTGTTAAAATGAAGGGACATATCCCCTCGCAAGGGGAGATAATCAAGAAAAGAGAAAAATAGGGTTGGGTCTTTAAAAAATCTTCTTCTCAAGAACCACTGGGCCAGTAAAGCTGAAACTTATGTGGAAGCATCCTGGGGTAGTGTAGATTCTAAATTGTCAAATCATGACCCCCGGGGGAAGGGCGGGGCCACAATGGGGAATCAAAGTTTTATATAGAAATATATAGGAAAAATCTTTGAAAATCTTCTTCTCAAGAACCACTGGGCCAGAAAAGCTGAAACTTATGTGGAAGCATCCTGGTATAATGTAGATTCTAAATTGTTCAAATCATGACCCCCGGGGGAAAGGCGGGGCCACAATGGGGTATCAAAGTTTTACATAGAAATATTTAGGGTAAATCTTTGAAAATCTTCTTCTCAAGAACCACTGGGCCAGAAAAGCTGAAACTTATGTGGAAGCATCCTGGTATAATGTAGATCTTAAATTGTTCAAATCATGACCCCCGGGGGAAGGGCTGGGCCACAATGGGGTATCAAAGTTTTACATAGAAATATTTAGGAAAAATCTTTGAAAATCTTCTTCTCAAGAACCACTGGGCTAGAAAAGCTGAAACTTATGTGGAAGCATCCTGGTATAATGTAGATTTTAAATTGTTCAAATAATGACCCCCGGGGGAAGGGTGGGGCCACAATGGGGAATCAAAGTTTTATATAGAAATATATTGGAAAAATCTTTAAAAATATTCTTCTCAAGAACCACTGGGCCAGAAAAAGTGAAGCTTATGTGGAAGCATTCTTGGTAGTGTAAATTCTAAATTGTAGGAATCATGACCCCTGGGGGAAGGGCGGGGCCATTATAGGGGAATCAAAGTTTTACACAAAATATATAGGGAAAATCTTTGAAAATCTTCTTCTCTGGAACCAGTGGGCCAA